ATCTTAAGGCAACAATTTTTGAATTAAGGTACCTCAAATGGGCTAACTTACAAAATGTGTCCAAAATCCAGAACCCATTACTCCAGTGGGATTGAAATTTAGGAAATTTGTGGCTGCTTCATCACTTCTACACTGCCATGGTCAGCCCAGGTCACATGACTGTCATGGACATATCTCTGACCTCCTTCCTACTTCCCTCTGTCCCCTGTGCCCAATCAGCTGGCAGCAAGGCCCAATAGGAAGGGAGGGAGGGAGGGAGGGAGGGAGGGAGGAAAGGAAGATTTCCTGCCAGCTACTCGCAAACAAAGTCAATGGGAAAGCTGGCAGCAAGTTGTAAGTCACTCACATTCCCACTGCTTTTTTGCCCTTGGTCATTCTGTTTCTCTGTTTAGGTAAGGAAATATCTCTGTAACAATGACCCAATGGGTCACGGGTTGTCCAGTATTTTTCTAAATATGAAGCCCAGTGAGTGAATTGGAGGATAGCTGGCAGCAGACTTTATCATACATATTGTGGAATATGGGAACAAGGAACTTGTGGTTCAAGTTACATTTTTTCCTTATGCCTCAAGTTAAATTTTCTTCCTAAATGTTTTGCACCTGGTACTATCAAAGAAATGTCCCTCTAGCTGAAAATACTAGTTGGAAAAAAAGTTGTTCACTATATCATCTCCTCACATTTTCTTTTTTTAATGGGATACACAAAAGTCAGGTCAGTGATTAAAGAATGCCTTTGCAATATTGCAAACAGACTAGCATTTTTCTATACTATAATATGTATTTTGCTAGTATAGTTTGTATATCTGATCCCTGGATTATTTTTTCCCCCCTTTTTAGGAATGGGAGAAGTGTACTTTGCAAGAAAAAAAAAATTATATTTATAATCAACAGTGGTTAGGTTATTTCAATATATTAAAAAGTGTAGGTGTGCCTCACACGGTTAATAATTTACATCTTTATAGCTTTCATTTTCTTTCTGGTCAAAGTCCTTTCATTCAATATATTTTTGAGTTTTATTTTTTGTTGTAGCACAGTTTCAAATTTCCCTGGATTCTTAAAGAAATCCAACAAAAGGAACAACAGTAACAAAAACAGAAACAGCTTTCTTTTCAGTAGTCACAGAGTGAGCATCCTT